TGCGCTGTTTTTCCGAACTTTTCCGGGTTATGATCACCCAGAAAATTATTTTGGAAATCTTTTATTGCATACGTTTGTGTCCCCTGATGTCCTCTTTCGATTGTCGAAAACCGCAGGTCGATAGCTCGTTACATTAAAAAGTTATAAGCGCTTTGGTGAGTAGCCTTTTTTTAAAAAACGGATAAAAGAGAAGTGTTAGCTAGTTATCCGAACCTCCTGTTACTTCAGAGAATATGGTACGTTCTAGTTATGACTGTCAGATGTTAAAAGTCTGTTTATTTGGAGAAAAATAGGTAGTAAATTTCATCGCTAAAATGTGGTGGGATCAGAGCAATTAGTAGGTGCGAAATTCGTTATCTCCTCTGTTTGTGGAAACATTGTCGGAGCGTCGAGCGAAAACTGTGGTAATTTGATCACTGATCAGGCACACACAAAAAAGATGCACGTCTTTCTACTACTCAAGATCATCTTGCAAGCCGATGGATCAAGCGATGTTAATCTTATTGAGCAAATGAAATTAGAAATCGTAAAATTCGAACCAGATCTTGCAAGTAAGACCAATATTATTGTAAATGGCACCTTTACTTTTGTTATCATTTGTCGTTGATAATAATAGCTTATGATATTGTTGGGCTTTATCAAATTCATCTAGTATGGATAAATAGGTGCCAAATGTTAGTTTGTGTACAGATTCACCCATTATATTCATATAATGTTCCTCTATTGACGCATCTAATTCCATATCTGCATTTTTGCCATAACTAAGACGTACAGACCATAAATTGTCGGTCAACAATGTAACAGAGTGAATTTTAAATACAGCACCTATCGAAAATATAATCTCATTTTTATCATTTGAATTTAAATTAGCAAATGGCTTTTTAACATTGTTGCACATATCAATATCTATTTCGAATATAACTGATACAACATTGTATAACAATTGATTTGAACTATCACCAGCATATGTACGTGCAGTATTCAATAAGCGCGTCGTTATTAGAAAAGAATTTATTGAAATAAAACCGTCAATATTAGCTTTCAACTTTTGTAAATCATTAATGGTCATCAGTTGTCCTCGATAAACCATAAGATGGTCTTGTTCAACCGGTAATGTTGCAACGAATCGCGTATGTGACTTCCTTATTTCATTATGTAGGTCGTTAATAAAATATCGAAAGTTAAACAATGTATTCGTATCTTCTGTGTGAAAAGCTTCATTTATTATACGATAAACGGAATTATTTTGCATGTACCAGTCGATGGCTGTATGTGTTTCATAAAAATCAGTTGAATGAATTTGTCTATGTTCTTTGTAATGCAGTCGATATTCAGATATTGTTTCTTCTTTTGCAGCATCGGTTTGCGGCATATCAAGGATAATGTCAATTACAAGTTGAAAATAAACAAATTGAATATGTTCTGTATTTAAATGATCACTAACAATACTAATCGACATTATATAAAGTAATTGTTTTGCATATAGATCAAGGTCTTCGGTTACTAATGTTTCTAGTTTGTCACTAACTGTAAAGTTCCCACGAATTTTTTTAGGATAATAAGTGGATACTAATCTATCGCTACACAAATATAAATAAATGAAATAAATCTGTGGAAGTTCGTGTAATCGTAAAATCGAATCATCATCTGTATGAGCTACCAATAAAACAGCTTTCTTTGTCTGATTTTTCACAAATATTATACACTCACTGATGTCGCTGAAATGGTGACATGTGAAATGATACAATTCAATTTTATCCGTAGAAAAAGTGTTCAGAGAAACAAATACACAATGTTCTATAGCATAATCGATATCGGATCGATGAATTGAATCAGCAGTAACTGCTAAATTTAATTCTGGTATTAATTCGCTCTGTAGATACATTCGTTCTAACTGGCAATGTGCGCATGCCCATGTCAGAAGTCCTTCCTTACTCTTTGATAAATCACTGTTGAGTGAAGATAATAATTCGTTAGTTTCTGTAAATACACCACTGATTTTGGAATATCTTTTGGGCCAAGTATCGTCCCCATGACAGGAATTTCCAGTATGTATGTAAATACATTCTATTTGACTTTGATCATAAATGAGTGGTAGAATTGTATCGACGTACGAGGACGATAACACCAGATATATTCTTTTATTAAAAAATGATCTTATATAATATACACATTCGAAGGTATTTTGGGCAATTTGAGTAACCCAACCATCTAATATGTCATTAGTTAAGACTTCATCCAAACATAGTACACAAAAATCATCTTTCCGGGAACACAAATTTTTGTATAATAAACATTTGTTTTGTTTAATTTGAACCGCTGTTTAAACAAGAATGAAAGAAGGAAAACACATTTTTTACAGAAACAATTTCGTATCGGCGATAGCGTCTGAAGTATCTGTAGTACAAATTGCAGCTCGATCCGTCCATTATTTCGAGGGGTCCTAGTATGATTGGTTGAAAATTGGAGCTTTCCAAAAAAAACCAATACGAGAACATCTCAGACAATTCTGGACAAAAACATGTCGACTTTCATTTTTCCCGTCCTATACCCATTATAAATGTTCCCTCAATCTGGCATCAGTTCTGCATCTGCTCACAAGGCCAGAAAGAGGCCCGCGGACACACAACTACTATGTCCCGAAGAACGACACTATCTACACATCATGAACACGCCCTTGAAATATTCGAAAGGACGATCATACTCGCCTATGCTCTGATAAAGACCACCACGGTTCTTTAGCCTGGAAGTTACATCCGGACAATCACACTTCAAACACTTTTCTTCTATTCCCAGACAATTTTAATAATATTCCAAAGCACGATCATATTCGCCTTTGTTCCCATAAAGAAGACCAATACTATGTAGACTGAGAGCGATATCCGGATGATCGGATGCCAAACAGTTTTCTTGTGTTTTGAGA